GGGGGGGAAGAGGTGTACCGTCCGGGTGCTGGCGGGCGCCGAGGGGCTGGTGAGCGACACCATCTCCTGGATAGCCAGGCGCAGCTTGAGCCGGTGCAGTGGGTTGCTGATGCCGATCTCCCGCTGGATCTCCGTGTCCGACAGGTTGGCCATGATGGCCCCGCTCTTCACGTTGGCCCGGCAGGCGGCCACGTACCAGGCCGGCATCCCCACCCACAGCTGCCGGGGCAGGGGGGTTAGAGCGCCTGGGGCGTGCCCGGAGCCCCCCAATTCAGCCCCCCGGACGCCTGGGTTCCAACCTCGCAGCCCCCCTCCACTTCCCCCCGGACACCTGGGTTCCTACCCACTGTCTCTGCCTGGGGTCCAACCTCATGTCCCCCCCCTCACTTCTCCCGGACGCCTGGGTTCCATCCCTACCACCTCCACCTGGGTTCCAACCCTGCGCCCCCCCCCCCCACTTCTCCCCCAGACGCCTGGGTTCCAATTTCGCAGCCCCCACCCCCCACTTGCCCCAGACGCCTGGGCTCCAACCCCCTCCCCCGCCCCCAGGATGCCTGGGTCCCCCGGCCCCCTCGCGATGCCGTCACCTCCAGCCAGGACACGACGGTGGGTCCGTCCCAGGCGGCGAAGGGCAGGCCCTGGCGACAGGCCTCCTCCAGCAGCTCGTGCCTAGGGGGCGGGAGTGGGGGGGTGAGACTGAGGGGACCCCCCCCACCCCGCCCGACATCCCCCGCCCATAGCCCCCTGCCCCTCCCCCCACTCACTTCTTCTTGTTCCGTCGGTCCTTGTCCACCGGCCCAGCCAGCTTCGAGAGACCCAGGGGGTCCGCGGGGGACGTCTCGTCCGACGGGGTCCCGGCTGGGGGGGGGAGGGAAACAGGTGAGAGTCTCCCCCCACACTCCCATTGCTGGCCAGCCCCCCACCCCCAGCCAGGGAGCCCGGATGCCTGGGTTCTCTCCGCGGCTCTGGGAGGGGAGCGGTGTCTACTGGTTAGAGCAGGGGGGCTGGGAACCAGGACTCCTGGGTTCTCTCCGTGGCTCCGGGAGGGGAGCGGTGTCTACTGGTTAGAGCAGGGGGGCTGGGAACCAGGACTCCTGGGTTCTCTCCGCGGCTCTGGGAGGGGAGCGGTGTCTACTGGTTAGAGCAGGGGGGGCTGGGAGCCAGGACTCCTGGGTTCTCTCCCCGGCTCTGGGAGAAGCGAGTGGGTCGCAGCAGGGTGTGGGGTGGGGGAGGGGATCCTGGGGCCCCGGACACCTGGGTCCCACCGGGAGGACACCTACGCAGGGAGGGGGAGTCCCGGCCTGGGGGGCCCAGCCGTCCCTTCTCCTTCTTCCCGAAGAGGCGCCCGATGGACGACTTGATGCTTTTCTTCTTGGTGGATTTGTGCAGCGAATCCTGGCTGCTGTTGGCGCCGTCGGAGCCCAGCCTGGGGGGTGGGGGGAATAATACAGGCTAACGGTGCCCCCTTAACCCCCCTTCCCCTGGGTCACTACCCTGCCCCAGGCCGCTGCCCCCAATCCCTCCTCTCCCCCCGGGGTCGCTGCTCCCCGACTTCCCCATCCCAGCTCCCCCCATATCCCCATCCCCCCCCACGCCCAGTGCCCTCCAACCCCTTCCCCCACTGGGTCACTACCCCCCCCAACCGCCCCACCCCCTGGCTCACCCTGCCCTCAGGTCTCGGCCGTCCTCTAGGGCTCCGGCCTGCAGCGCCAGGGCCTGGCTCACCCGCTCCAGCCGGGCGGTGCGGGGGGTGGCGGGGGGCGGCGTCTCACAGGGCACCAGGGCCTTCTCCTCCGCCCCACGCCCCTCCTCCTTGGGCACGTGGTTCTGGGGGGGAAGCACAGGGCACTGCCTTAGGGAAGCGCGCAGCACTGGGGTCCTGTCCGCGGTGGGAATGCTGCTGGGGAGGGAGAAGCTCGCAGCGTGGAGGTGGGGGGACCCTGCTGTAGGGAAGTTCACAGTGCTGGGGTGGGGACACACCCCGCTCTGGGGGGGGGGGGGAGCTGGCAGTGGCCTGGGGGGGCGGAGGACGACCCC